CAAGTTCGCCGCTCAAGACTGACATCGGATATCAAACTCTGGGGAAGACGTGTGCAGGTGAAAGAACGTCGCTCAAGCAAACAATGCGTCTGGTGCGAATTCCATGCTGACGCGAGATGCCCAATGCGAAGGACTACAACGACACGCCAACTGGTAAGACAATGAAGCACAACGTCATTGAGAATCCCTCACTTCCTCCTGAGGCAATCCAAGAGTGATGACGACGGACGGAGCTCTTGAGCAACAGCGGCGAGAGATAACGACGACGACAACGAAAAAGAGGACGCGAACGACAAGGATGAGTACGAGGTAGAGGAGTAGGATGAGGAGTCCTTTCCACGGATTCGGGCTCTTCTGCTCAGCCTAGGGGAACAAAAAGTGACATAAACAGAACAACTCGGAGGCCGTGCGGATTTCTCGGATCGGCGCTGGACCCCCTCCCTGGCGCGCGGAGCGCGCCAGGGGCGGCGCCGGAGGCGCCGCCAGGAGGGTCCAGCGCGGATCCGAGAAATCCGCGCGGACCTCCGAATTTGAAGTGTTTATGTGAGTTCCCGTTCCCCTACGACTGCTGCATGCCATGCGGCAGTGGCAGCATCCGTGCTTGGGCGTGCACCCCCACGCGGCCCCGAAAGCCGCCCACGAGTTGTTATGTTTATGTCGTAGCCCTCACGCCCTCCTCCTCCTCCTCCTCCTCCTCCTCCTCCTCACGAGCTCCTCCTCCTCCTCCTCCTCCTCCTCCTCCTCCTCCTCCTCCTCCCCCTCCCCCTCCCCCTCCCCATCCTCCTCCTCCTACTCTTCCTCCTCCCCCTCCGCCTCCAGCTCCTCCTCCTCCTCCTCCTCCTCCTCCCCCTTCCTCCTCCTCTCTCCTCCTCCTCCTCCTCCTCCTCCTCCCTCCTCCTCCTCCTCCTCCTCCCCCTCCCCCTCCTCCTCCCCTCCTCCTCCTCCCCTCCTCCTCCTCCTCCTCCTCCTCCTCCTCCTCCTCCTCCTCTCCTCCTCCTCGCCTCCTCCTCCTCCTCCTCCTCCTCCTCCTCCTCCTCCTCCTCCTCCTCCTCCTCCTCCTCCTCTCCTCCCTCCTCCTCTCCTCCTCCCTCCTCTCCTCCTCCTCCCTCCTCCTCCTCCCTCCCTCCTCCTCTCCTCCTCCCTCCTCCTCCTCCTCCTCCTCCTCCTCCTCCTCCTCCTCTCCTCCCTCCTCCTCCTCATCCTCCTCCTCCTTCCGCCTCCTCCTCCTCCTCCTCCTCCTCCTCCTCCTCCTCCTCTCCTCCTCCCACCTCCTCCTCCTCCTCCTCATCCTCCTCATCCTCCTCATCCTGCTCGTCATCATCCTCCTCCTCCTTCTCCTCTTCTCCTCTTCCTCCTCCTCCACCTCCTCCTCCTCCGCTTCCGCTTCCTCCTCATCCTCCTCCTCCTCCTCCTCCTCCTCCTCCTCCTCCTCCTCCTCCTCCTCCTTCTCCTCCTCACGAGCTCCGCGGGCATCTCGAAGAGGCCACCAAGCGCAGGAGCTGCGCAGGCCTGCCACCGCACGGGCAGGGGCCCCACACGAGTGAAGCCCCTGCCGCTCCGCGCAGCTCCTGCCCCTGCCTCTTCCCTCTCCTCCTCCCTCTCCTCCTCCTCCTCCTCCTCCTCTCCTCCTCCTCCTCCTCCTCCTCCTCTCCTCCTCCTCCTCCCCCCTCCTCCTCCTCCTCCTCCTCCTCCTCCTCCTCCCTCCTCCTCCTCCTCCTCCTCCTCCTCCTCCTCCTCCTCCTCCTCTCCTCCTCCTCCTCTCTCCTCCTCCTCCTCCTCCCTCCCTCCCTCACGAGGTGCGTCGTGAGTTTTGGGAGTGCCCATCTCCCAGATCGCTGCGCTGACTAGAAGGGGAACGCAGCATGACGTAAACATAAAAACTCGGAGGTCCGCGCGGTTTTCTCGGATCGGCGCTGGACCCCCCTCCCTGGCGCGCGGAGCGCGCCAGGGGCGGCGCCGGAGGCGCCGCCGGGGGGCCCCAGCGCCGATCCGAGAAATTCGCGCGGACCTCCGAGTTTTTATGTTTACGTCACTTTTTGTTCCCGTACAGATCCCTGCGATGACTAGCTCGGCTCCTGCGAGGTGCCAGAAGCACTGTACAGGTTCCACAGCCTGCCAGGTTTGCCGACGTCTCCTGGGGCACAACACCAGCAGCCCCAGTCGTGGTCTCCAGGCGTGTAGGCGGGGCTGAACATGAACGTGTCCCCGCAGCCCTGGTCTTGCTGACCCAAGACCAGTTGCGCACATTCCGCGCTCGTGCGCGTCTGGCCAACATTGTGCACTTCCGTCGAGCACTCGGTGCCAAAGCCCTGTACGAAAGCCTCCTCGTCTGCCAACCCCTCGAGAACGCGAGTCATCCATTGGCTGATCGCTGACACTGTAATGTCTGAGATCAAAATCGGCAGATTATACGTGTTGTACTTTCCAGACGTCGAATTCACAAGCTGGAAAGAAAGGGTTGGGTAATCTGTGCACCCAAGGCTATCTCTGGCAAAATCACCTAGCACGCTGGTGTCAAGGTATGCGGCCAGAGCCGTTTTGAACTCATCTGCGATCTCTGAAAACACATCGGACAAACGCTTCGCATCCGCGTGCACGGTGCTCGGTTCGAAGCATGCCCATATGAGGTGCTCAAAACCACTCTTGAGATACCAGAGGGAACAACAGCATGCATAAACCTAAACTTTCGGAGGCCCGCTCGGAGTTCTTAGATCGGCGTTTGACCGAACCTCCCTGGCGCGCGTGGGGCGCCTAGGCCGCTTGGGGGGGGCCCAGTGCAGATGCAAAGAATTCTCGCGGAGCTCCGAAAATTATGTTTATGCCGCTTAGTCTCCCTCGACATACGCTTCATAATTCCTCTGCGTGACCTCGCCCCACTGCGGGAGATGTTCTCCTAGCAAGAAACGCAGAACGGCTGCCTGGTTCTTCGTGTCCTCTCCTCGAAGCTCGATCATCTCGTCTACGCCCCGGTAGATTTGCACCACTGGGTCTGCACTGCTCTGCACGAAGTCCGCCACCGTGCCCTGAGGCACGTATTGGAGTGTCCTGGAGTCCTTCGAACCCTAAGTGCTCAGTCCTCAGGATCAGTAGTGGACCCACAGGCCCGAGTTCCAGCGGCTCTTGGGCGCTCTTGGCGCTCGTGGGCATTGTCGCGCAACTTGCTCACCAAGACGGCCCCAAAGCGGGCCAAGAGGAAGGCCAACATCGACTCCAAAACGGCCAAGATGGCCAACGATTGCCTCCAAGACTGTCCCAAGACGCCTCCAAGACGGCCAAAATGGCCCAAGATGGCCTCCAAGACGGTCCCAAGACGCCTCCAAGACGGCCAAGGTGGCCCCATGCTCTCGAGACGGCCAAAAGGGCCCCCACGAAGCCCCACGAGGGCTCCAAGAGGACCTCCAGGAGGCCAAAATCCATGGCGTCCAAGTGTGATTTCATGATTTTAGCGTTCTCGCCAGTTCGGTCTTCCGACGTTCCACGCACGACAGCCCGTTGGCCCCCAGGATCGCCCCAAGACAAACCAAGGAACACCTAACAGGTCCAAAAGGCCCACAAGACGGCCCAAGAGGGCCACAAGACCCAAGAGGCTCGCAAGGCAGCCCCGAGAAGGTGCCAAAGTCCTGACCCGATAGATCTCCAACGCGGCCCCTATGCGCCCGAGAAAACGGACCCACGACTGCCCAGAGAGGACCCCCAAAGACGACCTCCGAAGGCCAAGGGGTCCTGGAGAGGCCTCCAGGGTTCCCAAAGAGCTACCCCCAGGAAGCCATAAGCCAAGGAGGCCCCCAGAGGCCCCCCAAACGCTCCAGGAAGCTCCATGGGGCTTCAAGGGGCCTCCTCCTTCTCCTCCTCCTCCTCCTCCTCCTCAGCCCCGTCCTTCTTTTCCTCCATCTCCTCCGCCCTTCTCTTCCTCTCCCAAGTGTTCCCCCAAAAAGTTCCACAACGGCTGGGGGAGCACATCGTCCAACAGCTTGGCCACAGACTTTGGCCCAATGTTTGGCCGCGCTGGCGTTTCCTTAAGGAGGGGTGCAGGGGTGATTCGCCGCAGGCGTCTTCGATAAAATGTACCCATCGCATTATATTCGGATGCCAGCGGGCGGAACATGTCCTGCAACGGCTGCTGGCCTCGAGCCACAAACACTGGGAGTGCCCCGCGAACCTGCAGGGCCAGGTCCAGACTCTCCTGCTTCGCAACGATCAGGGACAGTCCGCTGTGCTCCAGCAGCCACGTCACGATGCTGCTGTTGTGGCGGCCGCCACCATATTGATACTGTTGCCCAGCCCGAAAGAAATACACGGTCGGATAAGCACTAATCCCAAACATTTGTGAAATGGCCACCTCTGAGTGCGCATCGGCCGTCGCAAGCAACACGCGTCCGCCGAGTGCCTCTGCGGCCTTGTCGAACTCCGACTTCAGGTTCCGGCAGTGATGGCAGAATGGAGCACAAAATGCAACAAGTACCGCGTGGTTGTCCTGCAGCGTCGTGCCAAAGTTGTGCGCCGAGAGGCTCAGCACCGACGGACGCTCCTCCTGACCGAACGCAGGAAGTGCGCCGCGCCCAGGACGAAACTCCGAGAGCAGCAACAACAGAGCAACCAAAGACGCGCCGGTATCCATGTGTAGCCCAAGCCAGGCGCTTCTTGAGAGGGGACAAATCATCTGCCTGAAATCCAAACGATGTCCAGAGCCAAGCAAGCACGGAGAAAAGGAGGTTGCTCTGCACGGGTGTCCTTCGAACTGTCCAGGGCCCCGGCGCAAGTCGTCCCAGGAGCTCCTGGGAACGCGGGATGGCCACGATGAGGTCCATTGAAGAGCATAGGACTGGAAGGAAGGACTGAGGGAGAGATGTTGGGAGCGGAAGGCTGGGGAGGAAATTGAGGATACGGATGAAAACGAGGCTGGGGGCAGGGACCAGCCGCAAGGACATGGTGCTACTAGAATCTTCTGCGCGACTGCAGTTACAGCAATGCAGATGGGTAGTTGCGCAAGGGTCTGGGCAAGCAGCTTGTGGTCAGAGGAAGGCCCTTTTCCCTACCCCACGCGCGAGCGGTACACCTCTTCAGAGGAGTACGCACGGTCCCCACGGACGAGCGACACTGGCCGCCGGCGCGGACGTCTCTCGAACACCACCATGGAGTCATAGAATGCGATGCTGTGCGTGGTCCTGGTGACCGCGTCTGGAGAGTCCCGCCCGAATTGCTCGGTGCTGTACGCGTTGAGCTTGTGTACGAGGCCGCGCGCGTACTCCACAAAGGGGCTCTGCGCACCCTCGCGGTACGTTTCGCTCACGTCCTCGACGATGTACACCCCGTGCGGATGCATCCTCGGATAGAAAGCCTCGAACGCGTTGCGCATGTGTTCGCTGTGGTGCGAGGCGTCGTCCAGCACGATGTCGAGCGGACCAAGCCTCTCAGCGAGCTCGTTCAGGTATGCGCGGTCGCCCTGCGAGCCAATGTGGATGAAGATCCTCCGGGCGCGGTCCTGCAGGACTATGCAGCTGGGGTTGACGTGAAAAGAAAAAAGAAGCAGCATGAACAAACATCCAGACTCCATGACATTTCTTTGGATCGGCGCTGGTCCCCTGCCCCTGGCACGGGGATCGCGCCAGGGGCGGTGCTGGAGGCGCTGTCAGGGGGGCCCCGCGCAGATCCAAGAACTCCGCACGGAGCCTCAAAAAGTTATGCTCATACAGCGCTCTCTTCTCCGAGATGTCCATCCCGTGAAGAACCAGCCGGGGCCCGAAGTTGATGAGCCCATTTTCCACCACCACTACCGTAGGCAGGAGAGGGAGGAGGAGGAGGAGGAGGAGGACGAGGAGGAGGAGGAGGTGAACCTCCTCATCCTCCCTTCTCCCCCGTCTTACATGTGGTAGCGGTGGTGACACATGTGCCCATCAGAAGTAGTCCGCCCACATCTGCAGCGAGCCGCCCAGGCCCAGGCCCATCTCCAGCATCCGCACCACGGGCTTAGAGCGGAAGCGGGCGAGGTGGCGCTCGTAGACGTCCAGGTAGTGGACCCACTTGTGCACGAGCCTGCGAGGGGAAGCGTCGGGATCGGGTTGGGCCGGCGCCAGGGGAAACGCATCGACCCTCCTCCTCCTCCATACTCCTCCGCCTCCTCCTCCGCCTCCGCCTCCGCCTCCGCCTCCTCCTCCTCCTCCTCCTCCTCCTCCTCCTCCTCCTCCTCCTCCTCCTCCTCCTCCTCCTCCTCCTCCTCCTATGCATCGCCGGTAGATCGGCGATGGGCCACAGATGGCAATGCGCACGCTCCCGGCGGTGTGGGCTATCGGGCCCCACATCGGCGATCAGTGGGCGATCGGGGGCCGATGCGTCGACGCCTGAGCCAAATTACGGTATTTCGGTGGGTTCGCGCGGCGCAGGCACGCGCCAAGGTTTTTGACACCGCGTCGATCGCTCAACCCTGAATCGATCGCGGCCCCGATCGTTCAAGGCTGAATTCCGTCGGGTCCAGTGTCGTCACCGTGTCCCTGGTTTCTTCTGCGTCGCAGAATTCAGCCTTGAGCGCCTTCGCCGGCGTCGCGGCTGCGCCAACGCCGCATGAAGCTACCGTATCCACCCCGAACGTTGCCTCTGAGATGGGGGAACCAAAAGGTACCGACAGCGCTGCTCCCCGGACCTCTCCTGGGGTGCGCCCTGACCAGGAGTTCGAGGCGAATCCAGCGGTGGCGACAAGGGCCTCCCAGGAGGCCCAAGAAGGGGAAAGCGAGGGAAGGGTAGCTCTGGTTGACCCAAGGGGGTCCAGCTGAAAGAGGGTGGTGCAATAGATTTGGGGCAAGTGTATTGCACATGTTTTGCGCCGGAGAATTGTCTTGCATTGTGTCGCGGAAAAGGTATTGCACGCGAAATTCCAGCAATACACTTGTGCACCGGAACGTACTGCACGCCCCAAGTCTATGGCAACCCCACGAATCGATTGCACCAAATCTGTTGCACCACCCCCTTTTCGCTGGACCCTCTTTGGGGTCAACCAAAGCAGCAGTATGGGTACCTTAAGGGAAACGAAAAATGACATAAACATAACAACTCAGAGGTCCGCGCGGATTTCTCGGATCGGCGCTGGACCCCCCTCCCTGGCGCGCGGAGCGCGCCACGGGCGGCGCCGGAGGCGCCGCCGGGGGCCCCCAGCGCCGATCCGAGAAATCCGCGCGGAGCTCCGAGCTTTATATGTGTGCCACTTTTTTGTTCCCCTATACCTGCCTCTCCTTCCCTCTGCCGAGAGCCGCCCGTCACCGTAGCACGCCAGCCAGCGCACAAAGTCGCCGACCTCCCCCCGCCGCTCGCCGCTGCGGTTGGCGCGCCGGAAGGCCTCGCACGCGGCGGCCGCGTGCGCCGCCGGGGCGCGCCCGCGCCGCCCCGCGGGGTCCATGAAGAACTCCTCTGGCTGGCGGCTCGCACAAAGGGGGCCCTCCTGGGGTGCTCTGGGGGCGTTTTGGGGCGATCGGGAAGGCCTGTATAGCCGTCTTGGACGCGGTGAAGACGAAAAGAGCGAGCATATCAAAAATGCACGTTTTCCGGAGAAAAGGGGCCAATTTTTGCCTCGTGGGTCCCTCCTGGGGGGGTAGGGGAAGGGGGGGAAGGCTTCTTAGAAAGAGACTGCTTCCCAGAAGGCGCGGGCCTTTTGCATCTGCAGACGCAAGGCCCGCGCCTGCTGAGAAGCAGGGGCGTTTCTAAGAAGCCTTCCCCTTTCCCCCTACCCCCCTTCCGCGCGCCGCCAACCTAGGGAAACAAGGAATGGTTTTCTTCCGCGCTTCGACATTGGGCGGAACAGCGGGGGGAGGAGGGTATGGCTCCGGACCTCTGCTTAGCGCGACTGTTTGCAGCAGTGCGTCCTATGGGCGGAACTCCACCTGCTCGAAACAGGCGCCAAAAAATAGCCAAGATCTACAGTCGGACAAGATTTGACAGGACACGCGAGAGGACACAAGACCCTTCCAAGGGCCACATTGCCACAGGAATGCAGGAGGCGCGGGTCGCGAGACACAGGACACAACGGGTACCCTTGATTTGGCAGGGTGGACCTGCTAATCCGGGCCGACTGTACTCCATTGGGGGGAGAGAGGGGGGGGGGGAGGGCCCGCGCCGATCGGCAAAACAAGGACAAAGAGAACGATCACAATTTTCCGATACCGCTATTGTTCTTGATAGATAGAGTGCCGGAGCGAAGAGTGCCAGCACACATGGCACACAAGGGGCCTTGTGCAAAGGGTCCGGCTCTATCGCGCTGATTCTTCGCCTCCTCCCTCTCCCGCAGAGCACGCTCGCACGGATCCAACCCCAAGCGCATATCCACAAGAGCCCCGCACAAGGCGCACAGTGTTCCCCGCACAAGGCCTCTGCACAAGACTCGCGCGAGTACCCAGGTGCTTTTTCTATTCGAAGCAGTACTCGCCGGACCTCTCCCAGGGTGCGTTCGGACAAGAATCTTGAAGCGAACCAAGCCGTGGCGACGAGGCCCCCCAGGAGGCTGGCAGAAGCCGAAAAAGAGGGAGTGGCAGCGGCCTCGGCACCTTCCCCTCCTCTCTCAGAGGGGCGAGATGCGACCGCGGCAGCTCACAAAAATCCTTTCCTGGACCCCTCCCTGGGGAGTCCAAGCGCCTCCGTGTTCCGAGCTGCGCCCGGCCGCTGCGGCGAGGGGGCCCCCCGAAGGCCCGCTGCCGTCGTCTCCGATCGCCCTCGCCGGCTCCTCGAAGAGCTGCGGGCCCTGCCCCGGGCACGAGACCCGCACCGCCCGCCCGAGCGCGCCCGCGCCGCCCGCCGCCGCGCCCGTGAGGGGCGACGAT